TGCAGCACAGGAACTGGACGGTGGGGAAAAGGCAAAGACAATTGTAGGCAGGGCAGCATGGAACAAGGCAGCCATCGGGCCAGGGAGAAAGTGCGGTTGTGAAAGGGCGCCCTGATTATTCTGTGGTTCTGTAATTACCAAATTTCAAAGCAAGCCAGATATGCATATGAATGACAGAGCAGGTGGAGGTGCGTGTTTATAAAGAAAGTATCATTAGTGCTTGTAAAGCTGTCTCCTCCTCTAAAGGAGCTATTCCCAAGAAAAACAGGAGATCTCAGCTTAGTGATGGTTATTCATCTCTGCGGGTGTTCTCGCCCACCTCTCCTCTCCCCAGAGAACAGCTGAGAGGCACGAGGTGCTTCATTCATCTCCGTGGGTGTTCTCACCTTCCCCAGCCGCCTCCCACAGAAGGATTCTAAAGCTTAAGAGAGGGATCAAACATCCCCTATTCCCAGTGCTGAGCTCCCCACCTGTGCTTCCATGAGGTTTCTCTGCAGCAGGGTTAGCACAGGAGGCTCTGACACCCACCAACAGCCCCAGACACAGCGCGCAGAGCCAACATCCATCCACCTGCTGGAGCTGTGCCACAGCGGGCAAAGGCACAGCGCTGCTCTGGGTGCACCTAACACTGTGGGGTAATGACACAGACAAAATAGAGCAAGAAAAACTCTGGCACTTCAATATTGATATAGTAATAAACCGCTAATTAAGAAACATCCCGACCAAGTGCTCCTCCTGTTTTGGGGAAAAAAAAAAAGCAACCCAAAACAACATCAACAACAAGAACATGGATCAAATAACTGCTGCTTTCTTCAGTGACGCCCAGAGAGAAGTACAACCCAGCTGAAGGCGCAGCCGTCTACTGAAGAATTACCGTACGCAGCATTAAGGACACACCGGGCTATTTAGAGGTACACAGCACACACACGTGTGCGCACACCAACAAACAGGGACGGCAGGGAAGCAACCGAGCGCTCGGCAGCCCCGAAATGCACGTGAGCAGGACGTGCACCGCTCGCACACCTCCAGGAAACGCACATCCGTACCAACCGCAATCCCACAGGCCGGCGGGTCTGTAGCGAGAAGCAGGACGCGAGCACCAGAGCCGGGAACGCCGAAGGTAACACCGGCGGCTCGAGCACAATACGCGGCCCCGCGGCTGGGACGGGGCGAGACAGGAAGGCCGCACGAGGGGCTGCCCGCGGCGCCGGGGCTCACGGCGGCCCGGCTGCCACCCGCAGCTGCCCCGCGCCGCTCCCTGCCCGTTCCGGCGGCGCCGCCTCCAGGCCCTCCCCGCCCCACGGCCCAGCCCGGGCCCCGCCGCAGCGCCGCCGCCCGCCCCGCCCGGCCGTGCCGCGGGAGTCTCCGCCGAGGCCCCTCGGGGCCCCTCTTTGCGGCCCCGAGCAAATGGAGCTCGAAGGCCCCGCGGCGCGGCGATCCCCTCCCCCGCCGTCTCCATCTTGCCCTCCCGCCGCGAGGAGAAGGGCCCCGGCCCGCGCCTACCTGCGGGGATCGGAGCGGCCTGCGGCGCCTGCGAGCCTGGGAACGGCGCGGGGCGGCGGGCGGGAGCGAGCGGCCGCCTCCCCTCCCCACACCCCGCCGGGCGGCTGCAGGGAGCGGCGCTGCGGCGGCGGGCGGGCGCGGGCGGGCGGGCGGCAGGAGCGCGCTCCCGAGCGGGGCCGCGCCGCGAGCCTGCGCGGGGCCGGGCGGGGCGGGGCGGGAAGGAGGAGGCGGCGGCGGCGGCCTCGGGGGCGCCCGGCGGCAGCGCCGCCATTTTCTCCCTGAGAGGAAAGGAGCGCGCTGCGGGGCGGGCTGGAGCCGGGCCGGGAGTGCTGGCCTGCGCCGCAGCTCCTGTGATCCCCGGTCCGTGCCGCAGCCATCTCACAGGCTGCAAGGAACACTGACACTCGTTAAGCATTTAGCCCTAATTTATCCATCCGTGTTCTAAAGAGTTTATATAAGAGCGCAGGGGCGGTTTGTTAAAAACGAAGCTTTGTACCTTCAGGCAGTATTCAGAGTCCTCACAGAACGCAGAACCGTGCCCAGCGCTTCCCACCATCCAGCCTCCTGCCATCGTCAGGACCAGTGAAACGACACAGTAACGCCCACAGGAGGGCACGGCCAACTGATGATAATCAGTGCTCTTAATTACTCCGACGGCAACAGCGCCGTATATTCAGCCACAGCGGCCGGCCTGCTGCCAGCACCTGGATAGCAGTCCATAATAGAGCTGTACAAGTTCCCAAATTCCACAGACACCCCTGAGTAACTGTCACCAACCCGGTGATATTCCGTTCTTGTAATATTCAGAGCTTTTCAGGCTGACAATTGCTGTGAAACATCCTGCCACGACCATGGCTTGGCTTTTTCTGCCAGTGCTTCCCAACGCGTGCAGGAACCCCCACTTCCAACATAAAGCAGCAGGGAAATCAGCATTTATTCAGCTTAATTTCGCAAATGGTTGAGTTTATTTATGAGCTTCCATTGCTTCTAACTTGTTGGAAATGCCACTTCAAGTCAAGAACAGAAATTTAAGAACCTCTTTGGTATCTAATGTTTGGTCTGTAGGTCAGTGTACAAAGTGATGGAAGTCAGGCTCCTGCCTTGTCCAGAAAAAGAAAACATCAGCTCAACAGAATGCAGAAATGCTCACAGCAACACCAGCAGTGAACTTGGAATTGGAAGCAGGGACAGGTTCCATCCACGATGCTGTGAAACCTGAACCAGGCTCTCGTTAGACTGCTGCTGGATGTGTCTTTGTGCAGTGGCTGCTCTGCATTGTGCCCTGGGCAAACCAATTCCACATGAGTCACCTTCAGTGCCCACAGTGCTCAAATATTAATCTGGTAGCAGTGGGCTCTGGTTTCCTCATCCACATGCCGCTAATAAAAACAGCAAGCAAACAAAAAGACAAATGTGTCCGTGACTGCCTTGTTTTGTGAAACCTCCCTGGGTCTGAAGCATAGCTATTGCACAGACTGGGAATTTCCTTCCCATTTTCTTTCTCTAAGTTATCATTACCAGTAGCAGATACTCACATTATCTGTAAGGTTATGCAACCAAATGCTGCCTCTCCCTACATCTAGACCACAAAATCCCATTCTCCTGCACTGGGTCTCTCTGATGGATCCAAATGTTCAAGTTGAGGCATGAGTTCCTCCTGTTGCCAACAGAGAGTCACAGGAGCTCAGTGCTGTCCTCAGCTACACGGAATGCTGAGCAAGCTGTGAGAATTTAGAGCTGCAACTCTCATGACCAATGCTCTATTTAAGAACAAGTTACTGGAGCTAAAAATTCATTTGTTTGCTATCATACATGGGCAGAGGAAATGTACGTTTTCATTAAGATTAAGGATTTTCGTTAACATTTCCCTTGCTAAGCAGTAACTTTCAGAGCAGTTGCCCAGTTCTGTTTTTCTGAGAAACATTTTTGTGATGATAAACTTCATACTTAGAATGGTCAAGGTATAAAATAATAGTCACACACTTCATAGTAGGTTATTAATAATTGTTTAGCTCACTACAACTGGTAATTTCTGAGATATTAATTACTTTACTTCTGCTTATGCTGATTAGCTTAACAGTTTTCTCTCTCTTAGTTTGGATAAAGAAAACCATTTAAATCTGTTTCGGATGAGAAGTCTCAGAGAAGCAGTGTTTGGGTGGCAATCACTCTGCAATAGTCATTTATTTAAAAACAATTGTTTCCACTGTAGCTAAAAATATCAAAACAAATCTTCCTGTCTACCATCATATAAACATTGTACAAAATGTACATTTTGGGACAAACAGGAGTCCAGCTGGGCACCTTTTATCTTTACATTTTTAGGTCGTTCTCTGCCTCCGCTCCCCCCATGCCACCACAGTTAGCTGGAAGCCAGAATTTCTTCTGCAAACGCCCAAGCTCTAAGAATACAAACTTGTTTAAGCTGAGACCATATTTGGAAGCGATCTGGGTCAAGAAAAATAATCAAAAGGAAAGTGCATTCCTCGGGCATCACGTGAGGTCAGCGTGCGCGCACACATCCTGGTCCTGGGATCGGATGCAGTGAAGGGAAGGGACCGTGCACGACGCTCACGAATAACTCACTGCCGTTAGCTGGGCAAGGGCTGGTTTCACACCAACACCGACACGCTGAGCACCTCAGTTCATCTCCAGCCTACTTACAGGGCATTCAGGCTGCCTTAGAAAAAAGCTGCACTAAGCTGTACAGCACTGAGAGTGCGTGCCTGTGACAGAACATTAAAAATTCATTCTGGCAACCTCCACAGGCTCCATTCTTACAAATAAACATATTTGTTTCTTTAACCATGGCAGTAGTTCTGAAATAACAGCAGTTTCTCAGGAACATAAGCAAAAACTTGTCCGTGACCCAGAACCAAGTATTTCTTTACTTACCCACCCAAAATACCACTCCCTGTTTATTCAAGCACTGCAAGCTCAGGGTAACTCAGAAAGCCAGGAACGTTCCACCTTGGGTAGGTAACAAAGCACATAAGCAGAGCTTGTTCTAACAAACAAATACAAGTACATCACCCCTGCACTGTTCCAACAGCTGGGGACAGGAATCTGCTCAGGTCAGATTCCTTGGAAAGCACTGAAAAGAGATGTTTATAAAACTCTGCTCTACATCCCTGTACACATATGGGAATAACCAAGTGCACTCTTTCCAGTACTTAATTCTCTCTTCTCTCAGGTTTTATTCTCACCTCTGCTATTTATTTTTTTTACCTTGTATACTTGTTAATTTGAGAATGTCTTTCTTCTGTCTTATATGCATTTAGCTCCTGTTTCCATGTATTCAGACACCTTTACTGCAACTTCCTTCCCATCTGAGTCTGATCTGCATCTTACTCCATTTCTAGCAGAAAATGACAGGCAATAGTTAATATACATATTTTCCTACTCCAAACTGTATAAGACTAACTCAAAGAAAATGTGGAAGCAAGGTAAGTGCATAAAACAGATAAGTTATTCAAAAAGACTGTTTCTGAAAAATATACATTGAAATTATTTTTTATTTTTGCTGTAATTTAAAAAACATAGGAATATTGACATTGCATTTAAAAACCCCAGGAAGTTTAAAGACTAGACATTGTTTCAGCTCTGAAATCCAACAGAGCAAAGCTGGAAGTCACGAGAATGTTTCCTTCATGCCCTTCTGTTTGTTTTTAGGAGATACCAATATATATCTGAACATTTTGAAACAAGATTTTTAAAGGAATGTCCGACTGTCCAAACTTGAAAGTGCTCTTCATGAAATACATCAAAATCTGTTACTCTTCTCGGAGGACAGTGTCAGAAGGTGAAACAACTGCACAGGGTTGTATGAAACACACCAACACCCACTTTTTAACAGAAACAAACCTGATGTATTTAAAGGAAACCATAAATTTTTAGCTTGAGATTTCTGTTCTAAATTTTTAAATGCTTTACTGTGTGCTTCTCTTTGTTCTCCCCAAGGATTTACTGGATTAACATCGGCAAGTGTTACATCATGGGTGCTTTTATACTGAATGTATGCTGTTAATATCATCATTACTTCCCTTTCCTGTACTGAAAGTAAGACACAATCATGAGAATAACAGACAATTGTAAGCAAATGGAAATGGCCATTTAAATTACCTGAAGATTGGAAACCAGATGTAAATTTATACAGCTATGATGCAGATTGTACGATCTGTCTTCACCAGAGTTAGAGCAGTATATACACAGCTACTTTAAAACGACACATTTCTTCTCAGTGTCAGCTAAGAAAAGCTTTCTACAAAAGTCCTTTTGAAAGCCATCATCTCCAAAGTCGTGCAGCTGCCAGAACAAGGTGGTTCAATTACTGCTGTTTACGCTGCAAATAAGTAGAGTCAGGAGAGCTGAACGATTCGAGTAAGGAATTCATCACAAATACTAATGATTATGTGGATGAGACCTCAAAAAAACCCCAAAGGTCTTGCCTGTCCCAGTGATGTGGTAGCAGACTGACTGCAATGATAGTCCAAATCTGTGGGTCCAATTCTTAAATATTGTTATCAATTTTTACTTAAAGCCATGTCCTAACAGTAATAAAGACAACCTGAGGACAATCACATTAAATGTATATATAAGAACACTGTAAAAAATGCCATATATTCGTCACAAAAGAGGCTTCTCTCTTTTTTCTTCCTCTCTCCAAGTATTTCTTTTCAAATGAAACAGGCTTTCATTCTTATGTCAGAGAATGAGAAAAAAAATAAAATCCTAAAATTCTGATGTTTAGAAAAAAACCATGGAAACTATTTTCATACTACAAAACATTTCACTTTACAAAAAAAAAGAAAAAAGAGAAAAGAAAAAAAGAACACCAAAGAGTTATTCTGTTACCTGGATCATAGGGACAAAATGGGAGACAAAAGGATGAGAAGATTTTAAAACTAGACCTCAAGTATTTCTGGATAAAAAACTCTCTCTGACATTCGATGGATATTTGTACAGGGAATTTCTGTGTGTGGAACCAGCCAGAGAGATGCTATGGATCAACCAGGAAAAAATCCCACCTTTATTTTGGTGTTTTATCGTTATTCCAGTATAAACTGATATGGTGTGAATCCTCCCCACAGCATGAAGCAGGTACATTCTAACAATTTCCAACACAAATCCCAACGCTGTTTAATTTACTTAACAGTACAGCCTGTCAGGAAAATTAAAATCATTTTATTTTATATCCTTTATGGTGTGAAGTATATAAACTGCACTTTTAAATTAAGTCATGCTTCGCCAAAACTGGTCTGCTTTAAGACTGCTAACTTTAGTGGAAAGAATTAAGATGTCTCAGCAAATATCAATTTCCTGTTAAAAAATGTCTGCAAGACAAAATAAACAAAAAAAATCTTAATTTACAATAAGCAGTGTAAACAGCAAAACAACAGAAGCCACGAAGTCTCACACACCAGCCACCAGCAGACAGATTGCTCCAAGCACTCATAGAACTTTGTATCTTCCTTTGTTGGTTGGTTGGTATGAATTTTGCTGCAAATAGGAGAGAATAAATCACGGTTAAAAGCGAAAATGGAGAAATTAATTGCAATAAAAGCTCACCCACAGTAAGTCCATGTTACGTGTAAATAAGCAGTCCATTAGAACCTCCTTCCTTTGTGAAGCATTTGTATGCAGAGGTCAATGATTCTGAGAGGAAAGTAAATCTTTAAAGACTCCTTAAATGAAAACAACAAAGGCAGTGATGTAGCATGGTCACACTCGGGCTATTTCAGAGGAAGCCATGGTTTCCTCAGCCACAGGACTCACACCACTATTTGTCAAGGCAGTATCTTACTGGGGAAAAAAAAAGCTGATTATCAGTGGGGTAGGTATGCTGTAATGCTACAGCACACAAGATCTCTGAGGACATTCGTATAAAAGATTAAAATAAGGGGAATAAATTCTCCTCCCCCCTGCTTGATGGCAGTGAAGTTAGGAAACCAATGAGGAGCTGATTATTTAAGGGGTGCTCTGTTAAGGTGTTATCTCCATCTGGTGGCTGGATAACAGCCACACTGAACAAAGTAATGTATTTTCTGGGCTGCTCAATGATTTTCTTTTTAAAAAACTTCCACAGGTTCCAGTCCCTGGTATTCATATAAATGTCTGCCACAGTACCAACTGCAGAGATCAGTTTCATAAACCATTAGTTGAAGCACCTTCTCTCTGCACTCTGAACATTTCACTCACCAATCTAATAAGCTCCTCTTTTATAAGTCGTGTGATTTCTGCCTTTGCTTTCTGTACAGCCAGTTCATTGGCACCTGAAGACAAAGAAGTTAAACAGTGTTGGCTATTTTCACAAGCACCGTAAAGCCAAATGCCCTCAACTATTTCCTGATGAACACATTAGTATTGTACAGGCTGCCACAGCTAGTGACATCCTGTTCTAAGGAAAAGACTTAAAGCAGACAGTTGTAAATTACAGTATTCATAAATAAATGTATAAATATATTTAAGAAAGGTTCTACTCAATCACCATAAAGCTTGCAAAATTTCTATTGCAGTAGTTGATGTAATTTCTTATTCCTTTTTCAGCCAAAACCCATAAATTCATTTTTTCTCCTTATTTCACATGGGCACAAACAACATTTTTGTGTTTCTTTCTCCCCAAACTTATCAATGTTTGCTACGCTCTGTAGCAGGTCAGCCTTCTCTGGAGCAGCATCTCTGTGCTGCCTGTGGATCATCTGCCATAGGGTACTGAGACAAATGAGTGCTTTCTTAGTAATTACATTTATCTGCAAAGTAACCACAGCAAGCCCGTAACTGAGCATCCAAACACTATGACTGCAGACATTCCATGCTTAATAATGAAACTAGAATAGTATATTTAATTGAAATACTTAAAGAAAGAATGCTTACTCTCTATAGCCAAATAAATCTTTCGCTCTCCTTCCTTGGGTTCCTTGCCTGGAGGGAAATAAGTTCCTCTGATTGTAATAGCAGCTTCAGAATATTCACTGATTCTCTGTAGCGCTTCTTTGGAGGTGACTTTCCATCTGGCAGTCTGCAAGGGAGAGGATACAGGAGAATCAACGAGCAGAAAAGCATCAACACAACGGCATTTCAAAGCATAGTTGACCTTTTGGACAAACAACAGTACTGCAGAAGCAAGACCTCCTAAAGACCTCCTGTTTTACTACACTGGAAGTTTAAAGACTGCAACTTTTTCTTACAGTTTTTTGGAACAGCAGTGAAATATTTTGTTTAATACTTTCTGCAGCAAGACTGGACCTCCAGGGCAAATGTTCTGTGTACTTGCATTTAACAAAAAGGAACAGTACTGGGGTCATAGACTGTAGTATGGCCTTTCAAATATAACACTAGACAGTGTCAGAGGTTTGGATATAAGTCAGTAGCAGAGGGTAGAAAGATTTTTGTGTAGTAAGGAATGCTTGTTTTGGGACTGTTCTCTGTAATACATCCAAAGCACTCACTGCCTACACACTGAAAAGTAACCACAGATGTAGTGATTTCAACTAGAATAAGAAACAGAAACAAAACGTGTTATTGGAGTCATCACTGTTCAAGCTGTACTTATTAAATAATGCTCATTAGCAAAATGTTTACTTGCCTGTGGGAAGTCATTGATCTCTAATTCTTCTTCATATCTCTTAAAAGATTCATTCTGTCCACCATCCTGTTTCTCTTCCTCCTGCTTCTCTATAGGTACATAATTCAGCTTAGCATTGATTTTTTCAGCCAATTGCTCTGCAATGGTCTTAGCAGATACTGTAGGAGCTTGAATTGTGCCTCCTCTAAGGATAGCATTTGTAGCCTGCTGCATCACGTCCTGTAAAAACCAACCAAAGAAAAAAGAACAGGTCCATGTTGAAAACAATGCAGCCAAAACAAGTCCCACACAAGCCAGCAAGGCTTTCATTAAAGCTTTCTGCATATTATAAATGCCAACATACAAATACATCTTCAGGATGTCCCTGCATACAGAATATCTTCATTGTCTTTCACACGTCTAGCTCAAAATTCCTTTGGACACTCTAGACCACGTTACCCAAGTCCAAACTGTGCATTAAGTGCTTCAGCAGATATTCTGCAGCTCTGCTAAGCTGACAAAATCAAATTCATTTCTCATTACTGATAAAATTCAACAATTTGATTTATTTTTTTTGCCAAGGCAGACAAAGTATTTCCACTGAAATACTGAAGTAGCTCAATTACAAAACTTACAACTTTCAACTGGCAGCTACACAATGAGCTGCATAATGCAGAGTAACATCAGAGAGAAGAAAAGACTGAACAAAACAGCAGTCACAAAGCAAAAAACTGAACACTGTAACGTGCTGCAAAGGCTTACCTTAAAATGGAAGGGGACAAATACTTGTGCCTCTGCTCCGAGATTCTTCTGGGCATTGATTCTCAAAGCCAATCTTTTAGCAATCTCCAGTTTTTCTGCATTACCAGCGGATGGCGTAGGAGCGTTGGATGATCCTGGTGTTCCCATGTCTTTTACTCTTTTCTTTGAATTGAACATGCTTTCAATTTGTTCATCAATCTGACCAAAATAAATATTATTAAATCACTGCATTTACCATTAAAAATCATCATGAAGACAGAAAACATTAAGGACAATTTAGTTCACACGGTTCACATGTAAACCTTGCTTAAACAATGGAAGCATGCTCAGAACTACAGAGCAAACTGAACAGATCTCCCAATCAGGAGTAAGTTTGAACATAGCATTTACTTGCAAGTTCACAAAAAGGAGTCTAACGTTTTGAAAGAGACCTTGTAAGGGTTCAGAAATAGAAAAAGGCCACTGTGAATTTCTTTAAAACACTACACATAAAAAAATGTTTGTAATCGAGGGCAATTGTAGTTTGAGGCAATCGTTCCATTTCATCTATGGCAGATTAGTATCAATAAGCTCTGTGACAGTTACATCACTACATATTTTAGGTGTGAAATACCAGTTGGTCAGGAACAGATTTTCAAGATCTTCACAGGAGAGCTATACAACTTCTCTATCAAAGAATACATACACATCTACCCGTGGAATATAATTGATTAAATTACATTCCATAATACAAGCAGCATGGGACATGTCATGGCCAAAATCCACACATTCTGCAGCATGCTCTGTAATCTACTGGAAAAAAACACCACGAGAATACATTGGAAATCCTCAAAAAACTTCAGGCACTTACATCAACAGCTGTATCTTCATCATCTGAATCTTGCAAGCCAAGAGCTGCTTTCTGTAGCTTCTTTCTCTCATTAGCCAAGGCCTGTTCTGTTTCATCGAACTTAAAGCCTTTGCCAGAGAACCCACTGCTCTTTTTAATCAGCTTTCCCTCCTAAAATAAAGACAGTGTGTTTCCATGTATAAACTGAAGTTTTAAAATCAATTTCCCAAAGGAATAAGACAACTACAGAAACACAAAAGTAATTAGTAGTTAAAAAAGCAAACCCTGGGATGTTTAGAAAGCTCTTCAAATTTTCAATACTGTACTTTACAACGAAGTACAATAAAAACAGCTGTGTTAATTCAGCAGGCAGAAGCAATACACAACAGGGATTTTGTACAAAAAGCACCCAAAACCAAACAACAACAACAACAGATCCCTAAATCTCGAAACCTCAGCACATGTGTGTGCTCTCAATGAACTCAGCAACGACTCACAATTGTACAGGGTGCACAACTGCACCACAGCATACGCATTAACCACAGAGCACAGAGCACTACGGAACGAAGGATCACTCACAGCCTTCTGTTGTTCTTTGAAGTCAGCCCAGAGCTTCTCTAAATCAGCAGGAATTGGATTCCCAGATAATTCCAAAGCCTTGATGATATCACCAGCATACCGTGCCTGATCCTCAGTAATGAACGTATATGCAAATCCCTAGTGAAAATTAATTTAAAAGATGGTAAAGAACCTCTACGGAAACTTTATCTCTAACATTGCTGTCATGCCCTTGCACAGATGCTGTTTTTCTGGTCAATAAAAATAACTGTGATATTCATGCTTTTTTTTTTCTTTCAGTAGGAATGTAGAATGAATCATGTGATTTCCCAGGAAGTTGATATAGAGGGAATCAACCACAGATGGCAGAAATTGGAACTCTTTCCTTTCAATCCTTTCATGGTTGTAAGTTCAGAAAAGAAAACCTTAGACTTAGTAGGGCCCATTTCCAATGGTGAAAAACACCAAACTTTACACTACAAATGGAATTTAAAAGGACATCCATATGGCAGAAGGAAACATGAATTCCAGCTTCCGCAGTGCTAAAATTCAGAGTGTATTTTACACATCATCTCTCAAAAACCTTAAAGGCACTTCCAAAAGAAAACCTTCTTCACATCAATAACAAAATATTCCCTCTGTAGCTATCCCTGGAGAACACCTTTATCAAGCAGTAAATAAGGCCATTGTTTCAGTATTAACAATAACAGGCAAGTGATTACACTTACTTTATTACCAGCTCGTCCAGTCCGGCCTGCTCGGTGCACATAATCTTCATAATGGTTGGGACAACTATAGTTGACCACCAGCATCAACTGTTTTACATCCAAACCCCTTGCTGCTACAGATGTGGCCACCAGAAGTTTGCACGTTCCATTCTTGAAATCATTGATTATGCTGTCCCTGTCGTACTGATCGATGCCTGCAGGAAACCACACACACTGTGAAGCTGGGCCCTTATTCCTTTCTATTAACTACCTTCTGATTTCGACTCAAAAGAATTGGGGCATCAGTCAAAATACTCTCCAACTTCAAACAACTCAAACCCTATGGAAACAACATTTCCATACACTTACACTCACAGGCAATATAAATTATCCAGGATAATAAACCTCTTAGTCTATTATCCACAATAATTCAAACTTTCAGTTTTCCCATTACAAAATCCTGCAAAGTTTCAAAATAATTTCTACTTGACTTCACAGCTCAGCTCAGATCTCATCTGGCAACTTTGTCTGTTTACTAAAGGCAATGGAACACTCAAAAAAATGAGGATATTTTTTCCCTCCTCCAATGTTGCATCCCATGAACAGTGATTTTGCACTTTTTGGTTGCTGTACATTCAAGAGCACTATATTCATATTCAGACAAACACTCTGTGATGGACAGCATCCTGCAGAGGTGGCCTCTTCTCACTGCTGAACTGCTTCCATTGTATTACCTCTCCAAGGCAGAAAAGTGAGACAACAGCTGCCATTATTGTGGAATTTTAAACAAAATCTCACATAATACTCCCTCAGCTGGTGTTCACTACTCTACATTTCAGAGTTCATAATATCCCCTAACAAGTGTTAACATTCACCTCACAACCCCATTGCACTGAGACAAGATTTGGTATCTGATGACATCTCACAGGGAACAGAAGAAAACTCACATCTGTTTCAAAATTAAGAAACAAATATATTTCCCCAATTACAAAGCAAAAGCTGCTTATGACAAAACACCCTAATCTGGTACTACCCAGGAACTAGGCAAGATGCTTTTCTTCCTAACTACTCCATATTAATATTCTAGGTTGGTGATCTTGATGTGAGCCCTTAAAACTGCAGATTACCTCCATGAAGAGACAAGCAGGGATAAGAAGCTCTCATTAAATCTTTCAACAACCCATCAGCGTGTTCTTGTTTGTCCACAAATATGATAACTGATCCTTTCTCCTGATAATGTCCCAGTAGCTCTAGTAGCTTTAAGAACTTATTCTCCTCTTCAATCACAATCTGGAAAAAAAAAGAAAAAAAGGGAGAAAGCGAAAAGAATATAAATTGTACCTTCAGTCACTAAACACACTCAGGATAAAAGGCATAAAAATAATATAATAAAACATCAGGAACAGGAGATTGCTTTCCCATGCTGCATCCATGGCTAGTGGCAGAACTCAGTGAACATCCAGAAATAAAAGCTCTTGTTATATTGCTGGAAACCTTCTGAAAGAGGACAAGCAAAGTGAATGTGTGATACTTACAACGTGCTGCTCCACATCAGAACAGACAACACTTCTGCCTCCAACCTGCACTTCTATGGGTTTACTTAGGATTCTCCGAGCCAACGCCTCCATAGCTCTGGGAAAAGTAGCAGAGAACATGACAGTCTGACGGTCAGGCCTGACGTTGTCTACAATGCGCATGACCTGGTTTGAGAGAACATTTCCTGTTAGTACTCAAGTTCTGTAACTGAAATTCATATACAGACAGAGCTGTCTTATTTAATTAGTTAGGTAATGTATGGATTACATCGAATACAAAATATTTCTTTGCAGATTTCCTCTTGGGACTTGGGTGAGAGCACTGCAAGACAGGCTGGAGTCCACAGGAAGCTGAGTGGTAACATGCCACCCCCCAGCAACACAAAAGAAAGCCTAAGACTTGCTGCAGAAACTCTGCAGCTCAGGAGACAAAGGAATGGTTTTAGTTTTGGAGGACAACATAGCTGAAGAAAACTGAAAGAGCTCTGGCTGCCCAAAGCTGCCAGCAACTACTGTCTAACATGTACACAGATTATAGAGAAATTATGTTCTAATTAAGAATTTATCACAACTAAAGTGTGAAGATAATGCAAAAATGAAAATGTTAGTTTGAATTGTCATCTATATACAGCACATTCTGTTATTGGTAGTCTAATAATTCATAGCATAGGATACTGCAAAACCCTCTAAGTGAAAAGGAGCAGTTCAGAGCATTTTCAGGCATATCATCAGTTACCTGAGGCTCAAAACCCATGTCAAACATTCTGTCTGCTTCATCAAGGACAACGTAGGTGACTCTGCGGAGATTGGTCACCCGACCTGAGAAAGGAGAGGAAAAAGCACATGGGAAACAAAATCAAATGGAAATTTAGTTTCCCTCAGGAATTTATTTATATATATGTATATATAGATTTAAACGTTACGGATATTCTCACTATCTTCCAAGAAATGCATTAATTACTTTTTACAAAAAATTCACTAAAAGTGAATTTTAATGTTCTCATTTTAATCTCAAACATTCTGGGAAACGTGTAAAGTATGCACTAGGCCCTTTATTTTGTCAAACTCTTCTCTTGCATACCATCATAGGGCCAGAAGAACCTGTAAAATTCAGAAAACTGCCCTCGCCAAAACACATCATAAAACTAAGACTGAGATGAAGCAAGGAGCCACATCAGCCATAATCTGACAGCGCCACCTAGAAAAAAACATATTAGAGATTACAGCGCATGTGTGGAAGGCAAAGTCCAGTGCTAACTGTTGCAGCCTCAGAAAAATTCCTTTTCTACATATTATCTGTAATGCTTCCTCGGAGCTAGGAATAACTATTTGAGGGTCATCAGTAATTCTAGTTAACTGCTAATAATACGCATAAAACAGAGCAAGCAGTCTTTTCCAAACGAATATATAAAGATTAAAACCTACCCAGCATCACTACCAGATTTAAAAATAAGGACCACCCCAAACTCTGGGACAGCTGGAAGCAAAATGAGCAGGTTGTGTATCTGAGAACATTTGGAGGTGAGGATGAACAGGATAATTAACACCCTTCCCAAACGAACCCCTAAGAGGTTCCCTTTCATCAAAAGGATTCAACTCAAGGATTTAGCAATCGTATTCTCAAGAGTATATAAATATGTGGACAGATTCACTTCCAAACAACTGCACAGTGACACTGTTGAGTGCTCTCAAAATGAAATATTTATTTTCATATTCTCTACGACCAAGACTGAGGCTTCTGCCTATCAAACCACAGCAGAATTTGGTCTTTTCAGCTTCAGCAAATTGCAGCTGAAGCTTCCAATTATTTTGTGGGGGCGATTTAGCGCTGCATTTTTTAAAAGGAATTCACACTTAAGTAACAAAACACTTCTTTATTAAAATCTACATTATCTATTTAACACCCTAACACTTCCATCCCCAAATAATAACTTCGTAAATTGACTTGGGAACAGCGTTAATGTACCTACCTTTGACGATTTAAGTCTTGGAAGCCCAGTTCTATATCTCTTGAAGGTACTTTTTCCACAGAAGTTAAATAATGTCAACAGTTTAGTAGAGGTTTTGATGTGGAATAATTTAATAATAAAACTTTATCTAGCAAGCATGCAATGGTTACACTAGGACAAAACCTCTTAAAGCTGCAGTGTCTCAGTTCAAACCAACTCGAATACTTGACGCACGGTCAGTTCTTTCACAATCATGTAGGGAGGGCTTTTTTTTTTGTCTGGTGGTTTGGTTGTTTTTTATTCCAACAGATAAAAGCAGTCAGATACTCTTCAAGTAGAAGCAAGTAACTGCTGAGCTGCGCTAACAATAATGTCAGACCAATGGCAGACACAACAAGTAACTGTCAGACAACCTCTTATCAAACAACTTGAAGGTAAAAATTTGGAACACCATGTTTTACATTTAACAAATATTCTCAGGAACTCTTCAAGAATGCAACACTTCCTGTCCTCCCCCAGAAAAGTCAAGCCAATATATGATTGCACCTATGATTAGTGCTGCATATTGCCAATAGCTAGATAGTGCAGCCTGAAGAGATATAAGAAAATTCCATAAAAGTATTTAGCAAAATACATGATCTTTTGAATTTGTTAGAATTACACAACAAATATTAAAAAATTCTCCATAGGAAAAGGTTTTCTACTCACCATTGTTGGCTGCTAACATGTCAATCATACGTCCAGGTGTGCAAACAATAATTTCAGCACCTCTTTTGAGTTCAGCTATCTGATTTTAAAAGACAGTAAACTCAATTTCACAAACTATTAGTGTTGTTTTCTTTTAAAAAAAAAAAAACAAACATGCACGACTTCACAAAAAAGCTACACACGTTTTCAATTACTTTTGTACATCTGTTTCATTAATGTAAAGTGCTTATTTAGAAGACTTTACTTAGCAATTTCCTTAAACCTTTGAATTTCTTTAGATCTTGAACACTGCTTTCCAAAAGAGTGACCTCTGTCAAACTAAGATACTTCCACTTGAAGAAGCTGCAGAGGGGATAGGACTTTTGATAGGACTTTCAGTTCAGTTCACAGCCTGCATGAAGTACTGTGTCATGCAACTACAAATGGTGTATTCAGTGTTGAAAAGCCACGCTCTGATACACATAGGCAACCAAAAATCCAATTTCCATACATGTGGAGTTGAAAAATACCCTGAAATTAAATCTCCAAATTACACCAACATGCAATATTTGATAACGCAACAAACCAAAGCCAATATTCCTGGTTCTTGTTTGAGATTACTCCTGAGGGGAATGCTCATAGAAAGACAGCTTCTTGCTCATTTTCCAACTACCACATCTCACAAGTAGTTCAATTACTGTCATGCTCAGTGCACATATAAAGTCTTAAAGACCACACTTCAGCATTTTCAAAAATATTGGTATGTTTAGGACTAAGTTAGGCAAGCACTTAAGCTTTTACATTAGTGCTGTGCTTTTACAATAGTGCTGCTTTCATGCAGAGAAAGTTGCAAACATACTGGATTTTATGGGAGAGAATTAACCATATCTGCTCCAAAAGTAGCACTGACTAATAAAGTCCAAGAGTAGTTTGACAAGCAACGTGTGTCTTTTGCATACCTGTTCACTAATCCCTGTTCCTCCATACACACAAACAACTCGAAGTCCAAGGGTCTTTGAGAACTTCTTACACTCCTTGGTAATCTGCAAGGCCAGCTCACGAGTAGGTGTCATAATGACAGCTGAAATGCAAAGCATGCCCATCATGTGTTGCAATACAAGAAATGCTGTTATTGAAGCAATAAAAAATAAGCTTTTGTCATGAAGTTCACAGCATTTGCATGAAGTATATGCAGCTCGCTTCCTGGCTTACCAACATAAATTATTTATTATTATAACATACACTTATTGTTATTATGTATATATTATTTAGTATTATTTGAAAGATGCAATTTCAAGGAAGAGAACTACGACAGCATGAGGATGAAGCAGAAAATGTGTCAAAGTTTTAAAATCAACCAAGGCCTCCCTTGCAGATACATGGATATACAAGTGCTCTTGATACAACCTTAAATAATAGTGACCACAAGCAACAACAGACAGCACAGTGCTCATGAACTCAAGCTGTTCACTAATGGATTATAGGAATAGCAAGCATTCATCCCCATAAACAAAAGAAGAACCAAAGAACCTTTTAAAGCTGAGCTTTTGTTGACTTAAATGGCATTTTTAAAAATAAATGCTTTGTACCTATGGGACCTTCTCCTTCTTCTAAAGCTCTCTGATCCATAATATGTCTGAACATGGGCAACAGAAATGCAATGGTTTTTCCACTTCCTGTTTTAGCAATGCCAATCAAGTCGCGACCATTCATAATTGCTGGGATAGCTTGGCTCTGAATGGGTGTGGGTTTCTCATAGCCGTGTCTTAAAGGGAAAAAAAGCATTCAAAAAAGAGATTTTAAGACCAAATATGATTTGACAGACACACATCAGTCATGCTAGAAGAAATGTACATATTATTCACATCTATGTATCGGCATCATCCTAAAAACATCTTAAAAACGAGCAGCAACACGATACAAATGGCAGAAGTTTGTAACCATGTTTTAATACTGACTGCAAAAGGTTCTGATGACTACACACAACATCAGAAACGTGGACATGTTGCTTTATGCAAGGAAGAACATTTTTCTCACAAATACATGAATGACAGAAACTGCATCGGGCGTGCATCGCTTGCTTACTTTTTGAGAGCAGTAAGAATCTTCATGGAAATTCCACACTGTACCCAGGTTTTTATTGGTTTGGGGCAGCCTTTTCCCTTGACTGTTATTCCCTCCATCTCCAGTCGGTACACATTCACCTCTGAAACAAAGTTTGCATTAGAATCAAACCTGACGTTTATCTGCTTGAAGAATGAGGTTATCAGTAAGAGGGATCCGATTCACTTTCATTCTGTCCAAAGAAATTCTCCCATCCAAATTCTCTTCAAAATTACTCCAAAGTCTTGAACTGAACACTACTTTTTTGCTCCTTTCTTCAAGAATACTCCACGCTGAATAAGAATTTGCTGTTTCCTTGCACATCAAAACATGTTCTGCTCATACTTGTACTCACCTTCTTGTGTCATTTTAGCTAGTTCAGGTACTTCAACATAGAAGTTTTTCCTGAAGGGCTCATATTCTATTTTTCCATGATCCACTGGTTCTAGCAGCTTTCTCTGCTTGGTCTGATAGCCAGTTAGGGCAGTCTGAAGATCAACTTCCTCTTCTTCTGAAGAATACTGTATAGATTATAATTGGTGTGTAAATTACTAGGAATGACATCCTGAGATGCTGTTATTTGTTTATACAGAAACTTGACTCAGAAGCAAGAGTTTTTCCTTAGCCCATTAAACCAGACACTGAAAATCTGCTCTCACTATGAGAGGAGTCCAAATCATTCTTTCATCAATTCATTTCATGTTTCTCCCAAACCTTAACTTTCATTGTTCCAAACACAAGAAACTCCAATTACCTCCATTGCATCTTGGTCATTCTCCATGAGTTCCCCTTTCTTCTTCTCTGTCTCTACAACTGCCTTTTTGGTTGTCACCACAGTTACTACTTTGGTAACAGTTGGTCCAGATTTCTGCGAAAGACAAAAAGTTAACAGAAAGAATTGCATTATCACACAGAAGAGAAGCTGTACCAAATACACAGAATATTTGTACTTCTGAATGCATTATGCTGTTTTTTCATGCACGTTTTGCACTGAAATTTCATGAGGACAATGCTATCAGCTTACTGAAAACATCAGAAAATTCAAGTTAAGGCAAACAATCATTAAACACATCTAACCTATTTCTTCCCTTCTTTTTTCCAAAACCATTTCCACATTGAAACACAAAGCTCCTTTCAAAAGACAAATATTCTAGTACACAATTTTACCTTTTCACTCCCACCTCCACCCTTCACACTTCTCATATTGAACTTCTTGACCTCTTCTTTTACTTCTTCCATATAAGCATCCAAAGGATCTAACTCTTCATCTTCAACCTCATTGCCTTCCTTTTCTCCTTCTGCAGTTTCCTCATCGTCATCTAACACGATTAATATGGGAATAAAACAGAGAGGAAAAGAGTTCATACGTTCAATCGTTAGCCTGCCCAAATCATTACAGTCCGTTTTTATTACTGTATCATTTTTCTTCATAAAAAAATCTCTCCAGTTTGTTAATCTCAACAGTACCGTAAAATGTTGGAAGCCAAGACAAGATTTAGGCTTTGCTCTTTTATAGGTCACATTCTGAAAAGTCATTAAATGCTTTAGAGATATTAAAAATATCATTAGGAACAAACGTGTTGTAAATGTTACATATAAAACTGAAATACCGTCATCATCTTCCAAGCTCCATTTTTTTCCCTGTTTCATCTCCTCGATTTCTTTTTTCAGTTCCCCAATGTTCTCCATCGCCTTCTTGCGTTGCTCTTCCCTCCACTTCTCCACTCTTTCTTTTCGTTTTCTCATTTCTTCTTCTAGTTTGTTCTGATCAAAGTTCTGTGACGAGAAACAATCAAATAGTGAAAATCAATGGCCACTGGCACTTGTCTAAACTTCAGTCAAAGAACCTTTCCAAACAAACATTACTAGCACGAAGCTGACCAATGAGCACACACAGACCTATCACAAGAGTAAACAAAAAACACTAAAAGCAGCCATAATGCTTTAAGATACAAAATTCTGCTGTTTTATTTTCCACAATAGCAGCACGTATGCAATTCTTAAAATAACAATGAATTAAAAAATTCCTATATGAACAAAACTTTCCTCTTTTCTGACTAGAGCAGCACATTGTGTATCACTGAGTTTCAACTCATTTTAGCCATGGATCTGTAAAAGACTGAAGATCCATCTTGTCGCTCTCTACTTCCAAAAATCCTTCGAGAACAACAACAAAAATGTGACCCATCTATGCATGGGAAGCCCTTGCTGACAGCACAACAGGGACAGAACATTTCTAATGGCAAGAACTGGAAGCACACCCTGTGACAGGAGTTACAGGAGAGGATGGGACTCTTTCACTCAGCAGGGATTCTGGCCAATCCTGTTTCTTTTGTTAATACAGTAATCTATGGCTATCTTAACTCCTGTTTTATACATTAAAAAGTTAAAAGATTATTCTAAGAGCTCCTACCTCAGTGGCCACAGTAGATGCACTGGTATCTTTATCTTTCTCTTCTTCCTTGTCATCTTTCTCTTTTTTCTTTTCTTTAGAAACTTCCACACCTTCTGTCCTTTCTTTAGATCTTGATCTGAAAGGTAACAGCAAAGATTTCTTAAAACATTTGTTTAAGGGGGGAATAAATGTGTTGGATAGAGCCAAAACCGTGAACACCACAAACAGGGCTGTGTTTTCAAATATCTTATGAAGTGCACAATGTCTCCTAGAAAATCTTTCTCTGATTCATGGAAATATGCCCTACAACTGCCACAAATGCACAACCTATTGCAATTCACTGGTTCACATGCTCTGGTTCTGTTCCTCTCATTTCTTCATAGGGCCAAGCTGCAGCATTCAGTTCCAGAACACTAACTACAGACACTCCAGGGGTTCTGTTGTTTATTCTACACCTCTTTGAAGACAGCAGTTTGAAAAGAGATACAAAAAAAGTCCTGTTTGTTCTATTTCTAGGGGAATGGAAAGCGATCTTGCTCCTTGCTACGGAAGTTTGAATGTCCCTCTGCAAATACACAGCTGTATGAAGGACACTGAAACACCTCTCCCTGGGAAAAGCTGCTCATAGAACTCATATGCAACACCCAGACTTCCATTTAAAACAAAGCCCATTTATCACAGATTTTATTATCCTAATGTGCTTCCTATTAAAGAAATGTACCTGAACCAAATGTTTGCGAGCTCATAATAATAAATGTAAAATTCATGTTAGCCAATCAAATCTCATTAAGATTACTTCACAGCCCACTGAATAATTCTAATGCCAGCCATACGATTATCCTAAAGGACTCATTCCAGCTGCTCATCATTTCTAAATGTTTGTCAACCTGCTTGCTCTTTATACAGACTCTTAGAACTTATGGACCCACTACTCATTTTACAAAAACATTCTCACAACAAACAGCATGAGAAATAATTAATACATACACAGAATAGCATTTACACACCCTCAAGTGAGGAATACAAAAATACTTCCTCCATCAAAGGACTTTAAGTGATGGGAAATTACAGTACACTCAGAAAATTCTCCTTACTCTACACACAAAATCTTTGGCTGGTTTTCCCAATGATTCCTTCCAGTACATCAGTATGTTTACAGTGGTTAGTTACTACCATATGGAATGTAACAAGAGAACACAAAGAAGGGCAACAAAGGGTAACAAAGTTGGTGAGGGGTCTGAAGCACAGGTCTTATGAGGAGTGGCTGGCAGAGCTGGGACTGTTTGGTCTGGAGAAGAGGAGGCTCAGGGGAGACCTCAGTGCTCTTTGTAACAACCTGAAGGAGGTTGCAGTGAGCTGGGGGTCGGCCTCTTCTCTCGCATAAGCAGTGATAGAACTAGAGGGAATGGCTTCAAGCTGGGCCAGGGGAGATTCAGGCTGGACATTAGGAAATACTGCTTCTCTGAAAGAGTGGTCAGGCACTGGAATGGGCTGCCCAGGGAGGTGGTGGAGTCACCGACCCTGAAGGAGTTCAAGGAATGTCTGGATGCTGTGTTGAGGGACGGGGTTTGGTGAGAGCTGTTGGTGATCAGTGGATAATTCTGGGTGATCCTGTGGGTCTTTTCTAACCTTGGTGATTCTACGAACACAAATACCTGTTTTCTGTCTTCCTGTTCTTGCTCGGACTGGGGGATCGAGACCGTCTGCCTCTACTTCTGCTCCTGGAGCGCCTTCTCTCTCGGCTCCGCGATCTTCTTCTCTCCCGACTCCGTTCCCTTTCTCTACTCCTCGAACGTCTGCCCCAAAACAAAAGCGCACTTCTCAGCATGTGACAACAGCATCATTTTAGCCTGCTACTAAGGAACAGGTTTAAAAGGAATCCAATAATCATCAAGATCGCTAAGAGCTTACAAACACCAGCACCAAAACATCATTTCATAAGCAAAAATATTAAGCACAGTAAAATCTATTACGAACAACAACAAAGTAAACAGCTGCAGAGGAAGCATATCAACCCTGGATAACAAGCACTCTCCCATGCTTTGTAACTCGTACCTCTGGCGCTTCCTGTCACGTGAACGGGATCTCCTCTTGTCCCTGCTGCGCGACCGCTCCCGTCTGCGATCCCGATCTCTGCTCCTGGAGCGCCTGTCCTCCCGTTTCCTTTTGTCAGATGGAGAACGACTTCTGGAGCGGCTCCCAGAGCGGCCCCTCGAGGCAGAGCGCTTCCGATAATGCCTGTCGTGAGGCCACAGAACAAAGGTGAGAGTGAGCCTGAGGACAGCTTGCAGAGGGGAGGGAGGTCTGTCGTACCTGCGTGAATTATTTCTCGTAATTTGTGGTACCTATAAAAGTCCTTTGCAGTAATTTTGCAAAATCAATTAGCGTGCACACATCCCTCAGGATGCTGAAATCACAGGAGTGACTCAGACACACGTTTTAGTGTGCTTATCTAAGCGTATCACAGGAACACTGGAACATCAAAAACAATGCCCTGGTTAGACATCCCCCAATTTCTATGATGCGCTGGGAAAGACTAAGTCTCTCTGAAGCTACCTCATAAAATTTGCTGAACATCTGTTGTTGCTGCTGATGTCAGTACTTTCATTCAGATAAGCTACATAACTTGAACCTCTGCTCAGAGGAAAGGCTGTCAAAATGCAATTGAAGAAAAAAAACGCGCGCACGTGATGCCGCAGTGGTACAATGCCCTTAAGATGCTGAATTCAAACAACAGAAAAACAGCTTTAAGGTGTATGATGGAGATGGGAGATTTTCTCCCTTCGCTACTTCTCTCTTATCCCAATCCAGCTGCAGGAGACAGCAGTACCCAGAAAATCTTCACATAAGCATACGTGTTACAGAGGGACCTTCAGTGCACTGTCTCCTCTTTTTCCAGTTCCTACCAGTCACAGCATCAGAATAATTCCCTCAATCCATCCTCCCACAGCCCACGGCTCGCCAACGCTCCCCAAGAGCAAGGTTTGGGAAGTGGAAGAAGCAAAGAAGGCAGAACCTCAAGTCCCCCACATCCCTTCCCTTTTGTCATTGCCAACAGTTGTGTGAGAACAGTACTGGTGCTAAACATAACAGAGTTTATTTCAGCATGGTGGTATACTGAGGTATTGTGTACATTTGGAATCAGTGCCGTAGCAGTGTGCCATCCACATCCTGCCTACCAGCAGTATGACTGAACGTGGAAAACATCTGTCACTGTCAGATACCTTTTCTTTCTTCCAATCTCAGCCACGAAATGCCATGAGAACTGCTCCCCATTTCCCCCCAAGATTTCTTTTTGCATTTTCCTCTACAATGTGCAACAAGTCTGGGCATCTCATTTCAGTCTGAGGAACATTTCCCTACAGCAAGTCCAACACCTACCCTGCCTTTCTCCACCCACCACTCCCTCTCACCCTCACCATTTCTTCTCTTTCTTTTAAAGCATTTTGAACACTGTAAACCACATTAAACAATTGATTTTAAAACCTCATTTTACTTTTTTTTTTTTTTTTTTTAATTTGTACAGCCCAGTTCACCACGCAGCTGCCACAAACAGAAAGACTTGCAGAAGGGATGGGGCTTCTGAGAGCAAGGGACACAAGTGGGACCAGCAAAGGCTGCTTATACAAGAAGAGACCTATGGCCTGGTTTGACAAACACGTTCTGTGAGTGCTTTCTGCCAACTTCTCTGTTCGGTCCAACCCCGAAGCCCAGTTAAAACCAAACATATTATCAGAATGGAAGCTGTACTGGATAAGTAAAGCAGTGCTGAGAGATCCAGAGCCAGCACCCGGAGCTGAGCTGCCAGCAGATTTTGCAGCCTGTAGACTGTTAGCAGGCTGTGTGTTAACACTGTTTCAGTGTTAAAATCTGATGATAGATTAAACTAGTCAGCACAGATGCAACAACAGCACCAGCACACAACAGAGCTGGTTTAAAGCCTAACAGCTGTGAGCAGCTCCACAGCACCTGGCAGCAGTGACCAACACACACAGGGAGCCTACGACCACCTTAGTGCTGAATTAATTAAAGCACCGAATAAGGTGTTTGTATAAGCCCTGAGAGGACAAAAGGGATGCACATGGTGATACTGAAACTTAAACAGATACGTTCCATAAACACCTCATTGTGGGAATCAAATGTTGTTTCTGCATTAGAATTGGATAATATTTTTTTTATTTCATGGTCTCCTCTGTCATAGTACTTTTTGAGAGTCTTTCTACTTTACTTGAGGGTCTCTGATAGTTTACATCACTTATTCTCTAGATGAACCTTCCCCAGGAATGCACACTCTGTATATAGGTGTATATATGTATATTTTGTCACACACATTGCAAGAGTATCCTGCGCAAATTAAAAGGACAATTCGTTACATGCCTCAGGGAGTGCACGAAGAAGGTATTGAGGAAGACCGGGCACCTCCCCTCCCTACTCTTTGTTTAACAAGGACTGTGAAGAAAATCACCACATCAATATGAACGAGAAGAGTGTTGAGACATCTTGTAGACGACAGGACCGACACCAGGTAACAAACAAATTAACAAGTAATTAACAAATGTAAACCTTCTGATAAGATTGTGAACCTGGAGTACCCAGCCAGCGGGGAAACACGGCAGGGGGGAGGCAAGGGGGAGAAAACAGGCTATAAAGACTGTCACGTTGTGTCCATAGGCGCGCTCCTGCTCGCGGGACGCCCGCCATTGCAATGGTGAATAAAATCTGCTTTTATCAGAGATACCGTCCTGACAACAATTATTTGGGTATTTCCAGCATCGTCAATAGGAAACTTAAAAAAAACAAACAAACAAAAAAAACACCTTAAAAAGCGTAGCAGGCTGACGATGCCGCTGTTATTACTTCACACCAAACCCGACGAGGCCACATGAGCCCAGAGAGGCCCGGACCCGCTGCCCGGAGCCCAGCAGCACAGAACACCGCTATGGACCGCCGCTCTCGGGAGCCCGGCGCCAGACAAACAGCCCTGGAACCGGGCTGAGCCAAGCGAGTAAGGCGACAGCGCCGGGCAGGGAAACCCGGAGTGCCCCGAGCACAGCGCCGTCCCACGGCTCCACAGCCCGCTCTCAAAGCCCGAGCCCGGCCCCCCGCTGCTCGAAACGACGGAGGGCCGCGGCAGGCGGCGGGAGGACCCAGCAGCGCCCTCAGCGCGCCCGCAGGCCGCCGCGGCCCTTTGTTCCCACACGCGGCCGGCGGGCCGCTACTTGAAGCGCCCGCGGGCTCCGCAGCGGGTCCGGCCGCCCGCGACCCCGGCCGCGAGCCCGCCGCCCTCACCTGGACTCCCGGCCCATGGCGGCGATGGCGGTGCGAGCCCCGCGCTACGAGGCGGCGGCCATCCGGAGCCCCAGCACCCGGAACGACGAAGCGCGGCGGCAGCGCGGCGGGAAGCGGCCCGCGGCACTTCCGGCCCGCGGCGGGGCGGCAGCGCCCCCCGGAGTCCGGAGGGCGCAGAGCCGTCTGAGCGGGCAGGAGGCGAGGAATCGGGGAACAATATCAAAAGGGAAGGAAAAAAAAAACCAAACAACAAAGTATTCCTGCGAGAGGTGCCTCGGAGAGATGGGATGAAGAAACCGCAGAGCCCCAGGTCGGCAGCCGGGCTGCCAGCCGCGGCCTCGCTTCCTGCTCCCGAGTCCTCAGGAAGCGCCCTGCGCGTCACCCAGTGCGACGTGCAGCGTGGCTGCTGAGCACCAAGCTCAAGTGTGTGATATGGAACCAAAACAAGAGTCACAGAGAGGCCAGGGCTCAGCCCTGCCACCAAAACACCCTGCTGCTCCTCCCAGCACCAACGCTCCTGAAGCTACTGAGCAAACCGCGACTTGCTGGGCTGACAGACGACGTCCGAGCACAAAGGAAGGGGGTAACAAATGTACTTTTAATAGAAAACCATCGGTTCGGCAATATACATAAACAACATGGGTAAACAAAGATAAGTTAAAACGGAATGAAGGAGATTCATTTCTTGGCCAAAGATGAGGAGTAGCTCAGAGAGGCCCCAGCCAGCCCTTTCCCATCCCTCGCAGACAAGAAGTCCATGTTCCAGTCCCACCTGGAAGCCCACCAGGCAACAGCTCACACCTGAAAAGCTCCGTGTGGGCTCTGCTGGCATGCTTCCCTTCAGCACCTGACAAAATAACCTGCACCATCTCCCTTTGTACAGAAGGGCTGCAAAAGGGGTTGACTGAACCTACAACAGGTGGTCACTTTTCTGGTTATCCAGGTGGATATTATTATTTTGCTCAAGATTCAAAGCTCACTGCCTTTGTCAGATGGTATTTTCGCCATTTAGTTGTATCACATTCCGGCATATAGTAGGTGAGAGCAATGGTAACTCTCCAACTCACTGTAATGTTTTATTTTTCAAGTCAGCTATTTCAATTTGGTGAAACTCCTGTCCACTTCAGAAACTTTATTTACATCTGTGCTAACAGGCCTAAGTCAGAACCTTTTCAAGCCCAGCCTTGGACACCTGAAATATAACATTCACTGGAAAATAATCAGTAAAAAAATAATTGTCAAAGCAATACACAAGCTGTCATGCCACAAACATACCTAACACAAGTCTGAAATCCAGTGCTGAAATTTTAGCAGGAATCTTTAACAGGAAAGACTACACAGAAAGCGGGGCAATGTGTGTTAAACATGGATAATCAACCCTAAAAAAGCCCTGCAAACAACAAGGTAGCTACATGTTTCTCTAAACTAAAAGTGCTTTAGCTCCTGTTATCTCGGCGCCTAGATTCTAATCTTAAAGCTACAAAGCAAAATCATACCAAGTTTACCTTCAACATAAATTTTCACAGATCACCAGCATGTAAGGCTGACTATTTGGAATGACACCTCCCTGCTCTCACCAAAATTCTTATAATGGAAAACAAGAACATTCATTAGCCTGCTACTTCAGCCAGGGCTCATTTGTATTTGTTGTCTTTCCAGCTACGTGGCTGGACTTCCACAGGAAAAATATGCCTTCTCTCTTTATACATAGATCTTTATGTGGTAGTCAAGTAAAAACAGCAGTTTATTTCTTATTTTACTCTCACATGTAACACACGGGACTTAAAACAGGAACAGCTAATAGGGTTCCACTGGGGCAATTGCAAAACCACTTCAGGTTAACATCCACAGATCTGCTGAATCAAAGGCCCTATTTATACTACTGGGGTGCAGCACTGTCATACAGCACAGCAGAACTCCTAGCAATTGTATTCTGTTCACATGCAATTGGTTGATCATGAACATGTCAAGATGATGAGGGTCATGTAGGAAGAAAATTGCCCTGGGCAGTCCAGCAAAGACCTATTTTTACATCTAGCAGACAAATGTTTGACTTTGCAGCTTGGTGGCTGGTCTGTACAACTTCCCCCTCCTGAGCTGAGTTGGTATTTGTGTTCATTTAGAAAAAAAGCCCAGTGAGCTATGCTAGCATTGGCTGCTAGAACTCACAAACAGATGAGATTCACAATTCTAACAATTTTCCTCCCACTTTTTGATTAATGACACTTGTAAACAACAGGAGGTTGGGTGATTTTTTTTTTGCCTTTTTTTTCTTTTTTTTTTGCTTGGCTGTTTTGCCCTAGAATTGTGAAGTTAAATTAACCACAACCAATGTATGTAAGGCAAGGTTTAGGACAACAGTGGCATGTTTTGCCAATATCCTCCAAAAGCAGCTACTTAGTTTGACAATCTGAACTGGAACAACAAAATACGGGGATTTCTTTCATTTAGAGCTTTCTTTAAAAACAGGAGCAACACAAACTGAGCTGTATTAGCTATATTTGTACTATATATATATGTATATATATTTGGTTCCCCTGAAAGGAATTCTCTTTGCTCTCACCAGAAAGAACAAAGCTTTGTACATTTCTATGAAGGAGGTGAGAAGGACATGACCTCACTAAACAAATCATCCAGCAACACTTCCATTCTATTTTTCACATTTTTAGTGGACAAAGTATTTAAATAAACCAAGCTAATATGACTGGCAGCCTGGGACCTTGCTGTTCCATCTCCCAAACGACTGGATTTAAGGCTCCTTTCAAGCATTCAAAAACAGGAAAGAATTTTAACTAAGGTTTCAACCTGTCAGATGTTAAAGGCATACAGACCAGAAAGTTTTAGTGTAAGCACTGCACTGAACTCTACAGCCATCATGGTACTTCAGAGCCGAAGAACAGAGTGAGTTCGTGGCAAAAGATAAAAGTAAAGAAGTAGACACAGAGGTCTGTGAAAACATCTCCCATTTTGCTGTAGGTGTCCATAGAGCGACTGATCACTTCTGCAGGGATTCCAGACAGTAAAAGAGCAGCAGTCAGTACTGTTGTTTTCACCTTCTTCTCACTCTAGAAGGAAAAACCACAGAATGTTAGTTCTGCTACAGCCCAGTTCTGTTTAACACCCCAGTTTCACACACCCAGGCACCTCCAGATTCACTGATAAGAATATCATGTTTGCACTGATTCTCTCCAGACAGGATTCACAGTACCTTATTTATCCTAGCTACAAATTGAAGCTGTGGAGGATCTGAGGAGCTGAAGGAGAAGCTAGTGAACAGCAGAACAACTGCATCACAGACATTATGCCCACTTCACAGTGGCAATCCAATCCAGCTGTAAAGTGGCGTTCTGAACTGAAGATAAGCACAAAGCTTCATGCACAAACGTCTCACTTCTAGCTGTCATTCAAACTAAAAGCACAAATGGAACACAGAGCCCTTAAAGCCCAAACCACCTCATTCCTTAATGACCACCCCCACAAATTTTGCCCAGGAATCACATATGCCCAATGGCCGTTGATAGAGCTAACAGTAACCACAGAAGAGCACTACCTGAAAGAAAAGCAAGCATCCTAAAGACATGAAAGATAAACTGGAATTTCCCAGTCAGATGCTTTTAATTAGTTCATTAGATAAATAAGCTGCTAGCCCACATTTTCACAGCAACTTATAAAGAGATTTGGACTAAATCTGGGAATACTAACTGCTAGCATTAGCTATGAGCATTTGATAATTCTCAGTTCTACAGCTCAAAATATGAATACTCCCCATGCAACAATAAATCTAAGCACAGGCTTAAAATATTTGAAATTAATCCAATTGTGAAAAATTGTTTTACCTTTGGAAAGTACTTGGATAGTCCCATGTATGCAAGTTGTAGAGTAAGAAACGGTGCAAATATTGACTGAAGGAACACAAAAGAATATATTAAAAAATCAGAAATAATAGGTAAGAAAACAGAAATTTAGTTATCAACAGTGTTGTTGAATACTACAAATGTAAGCAGACAAGTTAGGTGTCAGAAGTATTGTTCTACCTTGCTTGCTTTCAGCCTTATACCTGAAATTGCATGACAGAGCAGTGTGTAGAAACAAGCAGTGCTCCAGAAGGTGGCAGGCTGCACCAGTCGTGCACTTCTGTAAGATGTGCCTGCAGACACCTGCACTGCTGAGGAACTGTTTTTCTTAAGAGGTCGATAAATGAGTGGGATCTGCACGTCACAGGGCAGACATTGCCGTTTTCACTCAATTATTCTTTCGGAAAGAATAACAGTTGACTCAAACTTGCATAGGACTTAAGCAGTAATAATTATTCCAGTGTTGCTTCTGCTGAAAACATTAAGGACCAAAAGCATGCAACTCTTAGTTGTAACTTGGTGGCTCTGCTAGATAACACAGGTTCTGATTGAGTTACCATCTCAAGGAATGCCAGAGCGGTTGTTTGGTGGGTATTTTTTATAGCTTTTACACAGTTGTAAAGAATGCCTGAAGTTCCCAACTGACTTAGCCCTACATAAACAGCTTTCAACCCCAGGCAAACAGCGTTTTACATGAGCTGAGTCCTAAGCCTGCAGTTAACTAGCCAAACAGAATGGGATTGTTTGCTTTCCTGAACTCACCAAGTATTTGCACACAAACGCCCTCACTGCAATGGCAAGCAGAGCACATCCCACTAATCTAAAAATGCGGAAAGAATCAAACTCCTCCACCGCATTCCCGTTCTCTTGGCTTGGCTTCTCATTCATCAGCTGGTTCCTCAGCTTCAGAGCTTCATCAAATCTGGATAAGTACTGCTCTAATCCATGCCTGGGTGGCCGTGCAGCGGCTTCGGATGGCAGCTCCCCTCTGTTACGGTGACGGAGCTCGCCTGTGCCCTCACTGACAAGCTGTGGAGTTTTACTGAACAAGTCCTTATCGCCTTTAAGGTCTCCCAGGCTGCCTGCATGGTCAGCCGATCCGGACACATTAGAGACAGAATCACCGAGCACGATTCTCTTAGAAACAGAAGGAAGAGGAAGGGAGTTCGATTTATCTTGTTCGTGTTGAAGTTTTGATTCGACGTGACTTTCGTCATCTAAAGAAGAGAAACAAAAACAGGCAGTTACACACACAGAGCTCAGAACGGCATTTCAG